AAGACTGCTTCAATATCTTTATATTACTTTTTGAATTATTCGATTCTGACAATCCATTCAAAAGATATCACGAGTTAAAAAAAATCTATATATATAAAATTCAAAGGTGATTGACTGACTGACTGACTGACATAGTGATCTATCAACGCACAGCCCAAACCGCTGGACAGATTGGGCTAAAATTTGGAATACAGATAGATGTTATGACGTAGGCATCCGGTAGGAAAGGATTTTGATAATTTCCACCCCCAAGGGGGTAAAAAAGGGGATGAAAGTTTGTATGAAACTTTGTCAGTTTTTAACTGATCGTATTGAAATTTGGCATGCAGATAGATGTTATGACGTAAGCATCCACTGTGAAAGGATTTTGATAATTTCCACCCCCAAGGGGGTAAAATAGGGGATGAAAGTTTGTATGAGACTTTGTCAGTTTTATACCGATCGGGTTGAAATTTGGCATGCAGATAGATGTTATCTCATAGGCATCCGCTAAGAAAGGATTTTGATCATTTCCACCCCTAAGGGGGTAAAATAGGGGGTGAAAGTGTATATGAAGCTTTGTCAGTTTTACACCGATGCAGATGAAATTCGGCATGCAGGTAGGTGTTATGACGAAGGCATCCCCAAGTAAGGATTTTGATTATTTCCACCTCCAATGGGGTAATGTAGGGGATGAACGTTTATATGAAGCTTTGTCAGTTTTACACCGATCGGGTTGAAATTCGGCGTGCAGATGGATACTATGACATAAACGTCCCTTTAGAAAGGTTTTTGAACATTCTTACCCCAAAGTGGGTAAAATAGGGGGTGCAAGTTTGTATGATACTTTGCCAGTTTTAAATTGATCGGCTTTGCATGCATAAAGTTGCTATGACATAGGTATCTCCTTAGAACGGATTTTGATAAATTCCACCCCTAAGGGGATAAAATAGGGAATGAGAGTTTGTATATTTATATCATTGAATCTTTTTGAATTACATTTGGTAAAACGATGATTTGGGACCTGGGTAACGTATGATAGTTTATTCACAGATGTCTCACGAGAATGGGAACTATGCGTCATTGCCCCAGGACTCTCTAACTCTTAACCACTGAACTTATTCTAGAGAGATTCGGTACAACAATAGTCGATAGAATAGTTTTTATTACTCAAACCTTACGTGATCGGGCACTGTACTTGAAAGATCCCTGCGGGATTATTTATTTATTGAAACTACGATAAATCATTTCAAAATAGGTAAATCTTACTTGGGCACTGAATTGATTCTGGTTAATTCTGTCAGAGGTCATTAATCTACGCGGACGAAGTCGCGGGCAACAGCTAGTATTATTATAATGTATTCATTTTTTTTGTAACGAATGAAGTTTCTTGTTCGTTCTTCTCCATTCGAATCTACATTTTGGAATGAGCACCTAGCTTCACCTAGCTTCACTGACGGACTGAATGACAGACTATTATTTATTTTGTATTTTTTGACGTTTCAAAAGTACATACCAAATTATGGTTTAATTGAAATAAATGCTTTGACTTTCTTGACTTTTTTGACATACTATTATCAAGAACTAACGAATGTATCTCACAAATTAACAATTTAAGTTAAATTACTGAAACAAGTTTTCTTTGTTACTATATCGATTTATATTGATTTAATGACTGCATTTAAATGCAGTGTAATTTTTGGTCAGCTATTAGTCAGATAGACAACTTAATTGACTTCTAATGTAGGTAGTATAAATAGTAAAAAGTTGAATAGTGGATGTCTGTAAATTATATTACACTGCCTCGTTAGCCAAGTGGTTGCAAATGCGACTGCCGGGCAAGGGGTCTCGGTTTCAATTACAGGGTTCGGCGGTAATACTGGGTTTTAAAAAAAATCTCAGTATTAGCACGGAGTTTGGAATTATGCGCGGCATATGGCTATAAGTTCACCCCCTATTACATGGGACTCAGAACATAAGTAGGTAGTGAAAGTACATATAGTAACATTGTACAGTGGCATTAAGTGCCGTAATGCGCGCCTCAGCCTACTCCTTCGGGGATAACTGGCGTGATGTTATGTGTGTAAATTATAATATTTTTAAAAGCGATTATATACGGTCTAAGGAATCAAGACTTGATAAGTATTATGCAAGAATGATGCAATGTGATTCAATTTGAACATAAAAACAACTTTAAAATATGAGTTTTTAACAGGCAAACGACAAGAGTATCTAATTAGGACATTAAAAACATTTCCCGTTAATTATTAGTGTTAGAATTAAAAATAGGTATTTGATACCTAAATTATCTAAATTACGATATCAGTGAAGATAACCTGACCTACTCTACTGTCTGTCTAAATATCAAATTACAACTATTTTAATACAACTACACTCCGAAATGTTAAAATACTCAAAATTTCAAAAATCGATCTTATCGTTTTGTGATAAAGCAGAAAATGTATTCAAAAAAATATGCATATTCACTTGTAATAAAGAAGGAAATATTTATGTTTGTTCGTTCATCTATTCTAGCGAATCCCACTTCGTCTGCAGCCATTGCCCTATACAAGATCTTCATGCATTAGTGATACTTTGACCAATCTAGTTAATTAAGTATGTTAGGTATAAGAAAATATGTCCTAACGGGGCTGACATGTTCCTAAACGAAATTCCCTAAAACCATACATAATAAAAAAAATGTTTGTTCGTATTGAATAGTCTCCGAAACTACTGGACCAATTTGGAGAATACTGTCATTAATTTGTCATTGAAGAGAATACAGACAATAACATAGGCTACTTTTTACATTCCAATAGACTCAGGACAAATTCTAGGTTCAAATTGGAAACCGCGGGCGGACAGCTAGTATTAAAAAAACAATATTTATAAGCGTCAGTGTGTAAACAGCTAGTCTTTAATATTAAAACGTATAAATTAGAACAATAAAGATGTTACAAAAGATAGAACTGATTTCTCATGTGATATCGCCTACTCAAATTCCTAATTCCGTGATAAATAGTTCAATAACATTTATTTTAAACACCAGATCCTTATTATACGGGGAGGTCAATTTATTTTATTGACTATACGTAAGATAAAAACATTATCGATGTATTTTATCTTGTTGATATTTATGTAGATAAAACGCAAATAAATTGATTTTTACATAAAATGTTATATAGAAACTTTAGATATCATTACGACGATGGTTATTAACACAGATATCTGTGGTTATTAACATAACAGTCGTATTTTATTTTTAGAATTTCATTTTTGAATAGTTTTTATTTAATGGAAGCTGTTTTGGTTTTAGTTGCATTTTCTATATAGGTTCTTTAGTTAAGAAAACTATTAACATTAGTTTATTTTTTTACGGCATAAGCCGGCAAACGAGCTGACGGATCTCGTGATGGTAAGCATTCGGAATCGCCTATGGACACCTGGAATACTAGAGGTGTTACAATTACTGTGTTACCGGCCTTTTCGGGTTAAGGAGTTTGCGGAGGGATTCAGGGATTGGGGAAGGGGATGGGGGTAATTGGGCCTCAGATAACCTCACTCACACGACGAAACACAACGCAAGCGTTGCTTCATGTCGGTTTTCTGTGAGGCCGTGGTATCGCTCCTTTCCCATTTCACATTTGTAATGGGAACAAAATATTTGATCCCCCGTGGCTTGTATTGGAGAAAAGGACATGAGCTTTGTACGAGTAGTAGTGTCAACTCCGTACATTGATTTGTAGTTAAGATGAAGTTCATGTAGTGTAGAGAAACACATTTGACCCAATTGCACTAAGTACCTAGTTAGTTTATTGCAATTAAATTACAATATGAATGAAAGGCGATTGTTTCTCTCAGTTGTTGATAGCTACCAAGTTATAAGTTGACTATATTTTAATTCGTAATTCACGTTGTTTTATTACGCTAAATTGTACGCGCGGCGTTAGTCTAACGCGTAACGCGTACAGAAAAATGTGCGGTAGTGAAACCGTACAAGCTTATTTCATAGTACTCGTGTGAGTGTGAGTAACATGCTATTCAGAGTATCAAACTCGTGCTTAAAAAGTATAATCTATTAAATAAGACATTTTAGGCTCCTCCATAATCTGGATAATTAAGCAACTAAAAACATGCCGATGAAACGTTGAACCTCCTTTTTAGAAGTCCAGTAAAAAAAACAGAACCTAATCAATATTTTTTTGAAATTGGAACAGTTCTTTCCTGTCGTAGGTAACAGAGTGAAATCGATAAAACCAAGGAGTAACTGCTGCACTGTATTGCAGACATTTCAAATATTTACCAGCTGCAAGCACTATGCCGGTTATTCCCACAACATACAGCTTTGTAGGTATATTGTTATTATACTCTTGTTTATTTACTGGTTTTTGCTTTTGTTACTGGTTTTTGGTTATAGTAGCTACTATTGCCATTATTTTGGTTTAATTTGTTGGTGCAAATTGGTATTGAAAGTTTTCGCAGCAATCTGACTTTCAATCAGTTTCAAGATCAACTGTCAAAGTGTAAAGGTTGAATGACCGGCTGCTGCCTAACGTATCGCGAGTTCGGTATCCGCACGCAACAATATTTAATGTATCTACAATTCGTTATTCAGGCCTAAGAAGAAATAAGGTCTTAAAAAACGAATTGGTATCTACACCTTTTACAGCCCTATATTTCAGGGAATAAATAATAGAATATATTGTAGGACACTTTCATTTTCCACTAGATAAAGCAGATAAGAAATGATCGGCTATGAGAAATAAGTTGGCTGGAAAGATTCACAGATTATAAATTCGGTAACGAAATAAAACCTTTTTTGTGCTAACCTACCTATTACACATGTTACTGGCTGACTACAATAATTATAATTGTTTTAGTCAGCTAATAAAATGTGTAATTATGGCCAGGTGATTTTAAAAAGACGAGGTAGGTAATTTGTTTGTTGCCAATATCATTAAATTAATTGTTTTGACAATTAACTAAAATCCTTGAAAAAGTACACATAAAATAATATTTACCTATAATATCCGGATATTTAGTCAAAAAGTCTTGCTTAGCCCGTATCAATTCAAGCCGTATCTGATTCTCCATGGGAGCTTCCAATGCTGAGAAGACCAGAGCCCCTGATGCCAAGTAGACGATGTAGAAGACCACGTAGAACAGCAGTAGGCAAGTAAACCTCGCCTTTCCAAATAACCTCGTTGTGGCAATCAATGGCTGAAATGGGGGATGTTCTTCTTCATACAATATCTCCCTTTCTACAACCATTTTCTTGTGGTAAGGGAACAACTGGCTGTGTACCACCATGTCGTCATCACTTCTCGAACTCATACTCCCATAGGAATAAATCCGCTTATACTTATTTCCAGCTTGCTTCTCCATTTTTCGAGATTCCAATGTCAAATTATTAAAATTACCAATTTTTATTTTCACTCACGAAAGAAGCCAATAAAGTTTATTTTTTAAAAACAATCAAAAGTCCATAGTCAATTTCGAACACGATTACAATTTTAAATTCGAATAGAGAACACCAATACGTAACAATGGCGCGGTCAGTTTACCTATTTGGTTTGTAGGTAGTCCAATGAGTTCCAGAACACAAACCGATAATCCCGGAACACTCGGGTTTATGGTCAACTGTATTTAAAAAACCTCTTTGGGTGATTAGGTTCAACAAAAAGCGCGAATATTTCCGTCACTTTAGTATCACGACGACAATTTTCCAGTTTAAATATCACCATTTTGATGCATTTTAGAAGCACTGTGGGTTACTTTTAATAATGGCGGAAGCCGTAGAAATGTTTGGTCGTGGCGATCGCGACAGTGACCGTCGTCGGACTGAGCGTAGGAGTCGGTTCCTCGATAAATTAATATAGATGCGCCTATTGGTCGCATACTCGTGTTGTCTTATTTGTAAAGTAACCGAGATAACTAGCTGATAGTCATGGGTTACTCACACATCAGTTATAACACGTTTTGTAACACAACTAACTATAATATTAAGTAACCGAGTTCATTGTTATTGATGCAGTTGAAAGTGTGTCGGTAATTAAATAATACAAGTTGTTTATTGTTTAGAGTTTAAACAAGTTTTCTGTATTTTAATTGATACTTATTGCTAATTTAAAACCATTGAACTATAATTTGTTAAATGTATGATAGTACTATTTAGGTTCCTACATAGGGAGGTATATCCAGTCGGTCTGTGTATATATTAGAACTGTAATAAATAATTACCTTTCATTGTAGAAACCATTAAAATACGTATTCAGTTCAATTTTCAACTAGGTATTCGTATTAATTAAAACTCTGAAGCTCTAGAAGCATATAGAAGTATTGTCTATTAGTAAAACCATTAATAAATAGCAGAATGTCCTCCGTAATTAACCAGTCTCTAATGTTTTTAATAATTACAAGAAAATGAACATAAATAAAATGTCTCCAATTCAAAAAAAGAATAAAATGTAAACAATCAATATGCACAGACACCAGCGCAACAAACTATCCTCAACTCCCACATCTCTTCAAACGATTTGCAACTCAATAAACTTGTCACAAAGTTGAAAATCAATTAAAGAAAGGTATAAGTTGACGTGCTGTTGGTGTAAGAGAGGTACCATCAAGCCAGTATGAAGGGACTTGAAACATTTGAGTACCAACTTCAAGTTATTTGAAGATACTGAAAATAACTTTCTTTAAGACAAGTTCGTAATATAAATAAGTGAAGAGACTCTTCATGATATTTTCAATTTTATATATGTTTATTTAAGACTCGAAATTGAATGTTTATTTTAACTGTAATGAAGATTTCGAGCAGTGCCAGTTTCTACGATATTTTCAAAATTTACATAAACATAATATCACGCTTTTGATCTCCGAAGTGGTCGGCACACTACAGCACTTATGCACTGTACAGTGTAACACCCCCTTGTCACTATTTATGTTTTAAGTCCCATGTAATAGGGGGTGAGCCTATTGCATCGCCATATACCGGGCATGATTCCAGACTACGTGTTATTACTGGGATTTTTTTTTATAACCCAGTAATACAACAACAACGAGTCAGCCAAAATTGAAAAGTTGTCGGATTGCCGTTATCGTGTCTAGGAAAGATCTTATACCTAAGTGTCTACTATTATTTATGGAATCTTAGATCGGTTTTAAATATCTACCCTACAATGAGTCGCTAAGTAGAAGTTTTTTGAGGTCCAAAATAGAATTGATAATTATACTAACATAGGTACCTACCTACATAATTATATAAAATTAAAAGTCAAAGCATTTATTTCAATTAAACCATAATTTGAAACTTTTGAAACGTCAAGAATACAAAATAAATAATATCATTTTGCAAATAAAAAACCATAATTATCCTGCACGCTAGGTACGATAAAAAACAAGCAAATTATAAAAATCTACTTTCCAATTAACTCGTCGAGTACCGGTTTTATAGACACAATTAAAGAACAATAGGTCGCGGTCACCGGTGACCGCTTGGTGTTTGACAGTTTAAAGAAAAAAAAACAAAAAAGAATCAGAGTTCAATAACCCCTAAAAAGAACACGAAACAGAAACTATAGTACAAAATATCAAATTAAAAAAGTTTGACATTAATAATGGTGTGGTCTGATTACAAAATTAAATAGTGTCAGGTAAAATCCTGATTGATGGCAACCCTGGGTAGAAGTCACGAGCTAACCCTCGCGGCACTTGATATATGATAGTTTGTACTTATATTTAGGTATTATTAAGATAAAATAGGTAATAGATATGAGGATACATAACATAACATAACATCACGCCTTTTTATCCCCGAAGGGGTAGGCAGAGGTGCACATTATACCACTGTACAATGTAACACCCACTTTTCACTATTTATGTTATGAGTCCCATGTAATAGGGGGTGAGCCTATTGCCATATACCGGGCACAATTCCAGACTCCGTGCTACTACTGAGAATATTTAAAAACCCAGTAATACTTTGCCCGACCCGGGAATCGAACCCGAGACCCCTTGTCCGGCAGTCGCACTTACGACCACTCGGCCAACGAGGCAGTCGAGTCGATATGAGGATACCTAGGTATAAAATACGGCAACAATATAGGATGGTCATATATTTTATAGAAATTTATTTTAGTAAGGAAATGGTAGTTGATTTAGCATTGTTTTGTTAGTTTTGTGTCCTCAGGCTGGAGCCTAGATGGGTACTAGGTTCTAGACACAAATATAGGCGTTGTTTTATGTACTAGACTTTTGATACATTTGTTTTACACTATCCTTACTTCCTTATCCTTACTAATATCAAAATCGGAAAGTGCGTTTGTTTGTTTGTTCCGCTTTCACGCCGTAACTACTAAACCGATAGCTTTGAATTTTTGCAGACGTAAAGTTAGAAGTCCAGATTAAATAATAGGGTACTTTTTATCCCGGAAAAATTTGATATTCCCGAGGGAAAACAAAAGTATTGGTATAGATGGCGCTGTGTATATCGTTATAATGTCACATAGGCTACTTTTTATCCTTTTGTGACGCGAGCGAAGCCGCGGGTAAAAGCTAGTAATATTATAATTGTAAAATTCTGTTTGTTTGGATGTTTGTCCGGTATTCACGTTGAAACTACTGAACGGATTTTGATGAAATTTGGTATAGGTACAGACAGGTTATGGGTTGGCTTAGACGATAGGTTTTTATCCCGGATAAATGCTCCCATGAGGACTTAACGGGTTGCAAGGCTCTGGCTCGCCTCACCCAGCTGGGGGAAGCCATTCGATGATTTCCACCCGTTAAAAACAATGGGATAAAACAGGAACACGCGGGCAAAGTAAAAGCTAATTTTTATCATACAACCATAGGGTCTCATTATAGGTTTTAGAAAGATACCTATACAATATATGTAGCTACTTTCTTTCTTAGAAGTTATCGCACCGTTATTCTGTTAATTACCCATTAATTACAATAAATGTGTAACGACTTAATAATAATTATTATAAAGTACTTAATGACAACATTGTTTACAGCACTATGAGAATTAAATCTATATTTTTTTTTGTTATTTCTCTTTGCACTGTAAAAGCAATCGTGGTCTAAGTCAAAGCATTTATTTCAATTAAACTGTCAAACACCAAGCGGTCACCAGTGACCGCGACCTATTGTTCTTTAATTGTGTCTATAAAACCGGTACTCGACGAGTTAATCCTGAATTAGGCACTTTTAAAACATCAATAATTGAATTGTCCGTCCTTCTGTCTGTCAGTGAAGCTAGGCGCTCGTTCCAAAGTGTAATTTCGAAAGGAGAAGAACGAGCAAGAAACTCCATAACGTGGGAGTTTTTAGCTGCAATTTTAGACTTATATTTTTGTAAGGTTCTTAATATAAAAGTTAAAGTTCTAAGTATGTATTTCGCAAATTATGTAATAAAATACCTAGGTATATAAAGTAACTCCGATTTTATTGATTCTAGCACTTCCTCGTGTAGTTTCTAAGTGCCGCCATGTCGTAGCATTTTATTATAGTCCATTACCTTTCTCGTACAATGTCCGCAGCATTATTAGGAGTTTGTATATGTCTAGTTTACAGATATACATACTTAAGTCGAGTAATGGCGACAGAGAAGAATATATATATGTACATACATATAATTATCACCAAGACTGCCTGGTTGGCCGAGTGGTCGAGTGCAACTGTCGGGTAAGGGGTGACCCCTTGTACCACAGTCGAACTTGACTGCTTCGATTCCCGGGTCGGGCAAAGTATTACTGGGTTTTTTAAACATTTCTGTAGTAGCACGGAATCTGGAATTGCGCCCGGTATATGGCAATAGGCTCACCCCCTATTAGGTACATGGGACTCATAACATAAATAGTGAAAAGTGGGTGTTACATTGTACAGTGGCATTAAGTGGCGTAATGTGCACCTCTGCCTACCTCTTTGGGGATAAAAGGTGTGATGATGTAAGGAGCCATCAGACCACCACAGATGGAGCCCAATAGGGTTGATACTGATACGGAGTCGCGAAAGACTTAAACGAAATTGCCGGGGCTCCGGTTTGAAGTGCAGGAGTAGGAACGGGGTGGTTTTTAGTCAGGAAGAGGCTGGCACTCCCTCTCACCTCATTTGTCGCCTTAAAAAAAATTCGTCAGTAGAGAACGTCTTTAAATCGATTGTACAACGATCGTCATGATTCTACTTTCCCGGACCTATAGTCAGTCATGTATGTTCACGTCACCCTCTGTTACCAAGTAACACTTGCACGCTGCAATCACGTTATCTATCATGTTATCAGGTCTTATCGTGAGGTTGGAGGCCTGTCTATAGTAGCAACTAGTGCATATTCGAGTGCAGTTTGATTGCTTTGACTCAGTACATGGTGTACTGAAGGTGATAGTTCGATATTTCATATTAGTAAGCGACTTTATTAATGTTTTTTTATGGCATAAGCCGGTAAACGAGCAGACGGATCACCTGATGGTAAGCAATCGGTGTCGCCCATGGACACCTGGAACGCCAGACACATTACAAGTGGGTTACCGGCCTTTTGGGGATGTGTGAGTTTGAGGATTGTGGGGGATTCGGGGATTGGGGAGATTGGGGAAGGGGGGAGGCTAGCTTGGCCTCCGGTAACCTTACTCACACGACGAAACACAACGCAACCGTTGCTTCACGTTGGTTTTCTGTGAGGCTGTGGTATGACTCCGGTCGAGCCGGCCCATTCGTGCCGAAGGATGGCTGACACTTAAAAATGTGATATAAGTTGAATAACATTTTCTTAATGCCGGGGAAATGTATAAAGGGAGCGGCGCTTAGCTTTTTGGGGAGAACGACTAACTAAAATCATCCCGGTGCTGAACATCGGCGCCTATATAGGGCACTGGTTCCTCAAAATAGAGTAACTCGTACCTACAATCAGTAGTCTATCGGTTCAACCCTGTTATCACGAAACAGTTGCACGATGCAATCATGCTATCAATTGTGTTATCAGTACCTAACATTAAGAGGTTGGAGGCGTGTCAACTGTCAATATAGTTGTTGCAACTACTACGTACTTATACATACAAGTGCATAGTTTAATTGCTTTTGCTAAGTACATGTGCACCAACATTAGTAATAACACATAACATCACGCCTTTTATTCCTGATGGGGTAGGCAGAGGTGCACATTACGGCACTTAATGCCACTGTACAATGTAACACCCACTTTTCACTA